CCCCCCGTTAGCGGTTCCCTGTCAGTAGTTCTGGTTCTGTGTTAGCGGTTCTGGTTCCCTGTTAGCAGCTCTCTGTTAGCTGTTCCCTGTTAGTGGCTCTGGTTCCCTGTTAGCGCCCCCCGTTAGCGTCTCTCTGTTAGCGTGGGTACCTTCTCCGGCGTCCTTGGTGACGATGGTGAAAATGGCGGGCTGATCCAGAGCGCCGTGGCTCAGGCCGGGGCCGAACGCCGTCACGTGGCCGCTGTTAATGGCGTCCACGTAGAACTGGAGAGGACTTCCTGTAAAGAGACCCCAGATCTGTAGGGATCCATCACAATCCAGCAGAACCTATATAGAGAGTCTAACTGGTTCCAGGAAGGAAGAAGTGTTGGTCCACTGATCTTCATGTTTGACTAATTGTGAACATAGTCAAAATCGCTGAAATGAGACATTTCCTGTTCAAATACGAGGTGAAACGTGAGGTGAATCCATCTCAGTGCCTGATTCATGCACTGGGCGCCTGTCGGCATATCGCCAATATAATGTTTACATATACAGTAGAACCTCTATATATGAGTTTAACTGGTTCCAGGAGGGACTTCTGTGTTAAATATTGGTGTGTTGGTTCAAATCCTCCATCAGAATACTCTGTAATTCCTAGAATTGGTTCCAAAATAATTAATGGAAATTAGCCAGTTTTCACTGTCTTTGGGAGTTTGGGAACCTTTGAATTATTCAATTTTAATAATTAGAAAATAATCATTTGAAATATGAATTAGAGCAGAAAGAATCCTGTTACATGTCCCCTAAATAAACGTAAAATAAATAAAATATGTAAAATAAAATAAAAAAAAACAGCCCCCCAGGAGCTAAACCAGCATCTAAAGGGCTCAAACCCCAAAAAGTCTGGAGTTTTGGACCAGAAAACAGATAAAAATACAGATAAATCCAGCAGAACCTCTATAACAGAGTCTAACTGGTTCCAGGAGCAACTTCTGTGTTAAATATTGGTGTGTTGGTTCAAATCTTCCATCAGAATACTCTGTAATTCT